TTTATATTTTCCACAATTAGCTCATAAACATAAGGTGCATTTTTGAGACACACATTCTTAATGCTCTAAAGCTGGCTAACCATTTATTGCAAATGTATGTAATTACAAAATTACAGTTGTGCATTTAAAAAAAAAATCAGATTTATTTATTTGCTTTATTTAATTCAGATTCAGTTAAACAAATAGGAACACATATTTAACACAGTATAAATGTAAACATAACAGTAAAAATAACAATATACATACCCGTATATTCTATAACCCTTCCCCTAAATCTACCCATTACTCGAAACTTTCTGCATTTTTACATTTTTTAATCATTCTGTATAAATTATAAGCTTGTTTCCTCATGTCATGGGGACCTAAAAAATATTCCCATAAGGTTAGAATTTAATGGTATTACTATACTTGTGGGGACATTTGGTCCCCATAATAGGTAATACCAGTACACAAACACACACAGCCTCTGAATATGCATTTTATTTTCTATGATTGAACTGTTACTGTGTACATAGCGACCTATAAAGGGTGTATCAACTGTACCCACTTTACCACCTTGTATTTTTCTTAAAATTCTATGTAATCAACATTCATGTTAGAAAACATTTCCATTAATAATAATAGTTAAAATATCACAAATATCATTTTTTAACAGAATTTGCGTAGCATGTGTGTAAATGTGCTTTTAACCTATTATCATAGCACTGTACAACTAAACAGCATGTGAAGCAATAGGACACCAATCCGGATACACTGTGTCTCAACCGTACCCCACTGACATACTCACACGTTTCTCTAGATTATGAAAAGACCTTGCATGGCACAATGTAATACAATATGTCTATTTTTAGAGCACAGATTAACGTTTGCAATGATATATGGGAAGTTTAACAATCATAAAAGAATAATAAGCTATTCACTGTGGAAAGGACATGGTGAAATGAAAATCTCACCTTGTAAAAAAAACTGCCGATATTTTCGGAGTGGAAAGACGCACACATTTCAAATTTCTCGCGATCAAAGAGAACACTAATACACATGTGTGGAGCAAAAATCACGGCTTGGGGTTCTTGTGTATGCAAGTTATTTAAGGTGTTTCAACTGTACACATGTCTCAAATGTACTCAGTCACTGTGTACTCATGTACATGTACTCAGAACAAGAACAGTTCACATACAATATTGTTTTATTCAATGTCAATTCAGTCGTTTACAATCATAAAAACTAAAAAAAAAAACATTGAGTAAAGGTTTTAGGACATGACGGGAGCAGCAAGAGCAGCCAATGGGAATCTATGGGAAGAAAACTGTTATCAGTAGGCTGTTCCAGTTCATTAAATGACTTATATCATGACATCTTATATTCATGTTTTAAAAGTTACATCAAAAACAGCTTTTCCTCGTGCCATGTCTGTCAGACATTTAAGTTTCAACCCATTAAAAGGATAGCGCGACCACAGCTGCAACAATATGGCGCATCAGATCAATAGCGCTGCTGTTGTAGTCAGTGGAGGTCACGGAAACTCACAGTGAAGTCGCGTCGTGTTTCAGTCCTGGTCGCTCATTCGTTTGGCGGGAGGTGAAAGTTCCGTGGTGGCGCCGGCGAGTCGTTCGTTTCGAGTGGAGATCCGGCCAGTGCTGCGTTTGTAGAAGGCTAGCTTCCAAGCAGACGTTAGCTGGTACGTATATTTAAACAAAAAGGAAAGAAAAAAAGCGAAAATGTGAGACTACAGACGTTTTCCTATTTACAGTAATAATTTGATAGGAATACAATGTAATACAAACCTTAATTTCATTCAGGTAGTTTCCCGTCAGTCAAGACAGAGCACAAAATGACCACTAACAAATGCATCCAGTTTGAACCGGTTTGGCACAGTTTACCCAACGCTGGGTAGGTAGTGAGGGGGTTTATCATTGTATTGACATTAAAAATGACCCAGCAGCTGAGTTACAAAAAAAACTAAACAGCACCTGAGTAAAAATCCCCCAATAAAATGACCCCACATGCTGAACCCAGCATTTGGGTTAAAAATAATAACCCAGCATTTTTTAGAGTGTAGGCCTACTGTTCTGTGCAAAGGCCCACTTCGTTCTGCTAATCGAGGTTTAAAACGGCCCTTTTATGTTTTATGTGGGACTGTTGTCAGTAGGCAGGTTTCAACAAATCAGCGTTTAAAGAGCTGATGAGGTAAAAATAAAAATATTAATAAAAAACTAATACAAAATAATAATAATAATAATAATAATAATAATAAAGAAACTCTTCAGCGAAATTAAAAACTATATGAAACCTGTAGGCTATGATATTAATAACTGCAGTATAGCCTACAATGAGGCTCATAGGTTAGTTTTAAACACAATGCAATGAACGCACAGTATTAAAGGTATTGGCATAGTGTAGCAGTGTCCTGGGTTTGGGGAAGTCTTAAAGGATATTTCTTCCTTTTACCAGTACAAGCTATATTTGTTTCCCTTAACTAGACCTAAGTTTAAAAAAAAAAAAAACACAAAAATAGTTTACAATGAGTTAAATAGAAGCAAAGTCGCGTTCTCCTCGGGAAGTAACCATAGCAACAGCGCTTTCTGTCAGGCTTCGTTTTGAAACTTCCATAGACAAAACACAAGTTCACAAGCCATTATCACGTTATTGTGTGTGTATGTTTAACATCAGAAATATACCAAAACTTGAGTGCTTTGTTCAGCTAACTGTGGGCGCCAAAATGCATGATGGTTTTACCAAGAGGAGCCTCAACAGAAAATCCCCCCGAATTATCCTCACCCTGACTATAATATTATGCTGCCTACCTAGACAGGCTATTTTGGGGATGCTCAAAATGCCGTCTGGGAAGGAAGCTCACTAGATTTTGAAACACAGCCTCAATGTGTCTTTGAGCGAGATGGAGCCCGCTGTCAGTGATTCTAGGAGGAGCCCACACGCTCGGCGAGATATGAGCGGCAGTTAGATGCACTTGGATTACCGGCTGCTGAACTGAGACAACGTCTCTGCTCATAAAAATATGTAAAACAGTGACGTTTCTGATTACACGTCTTTTTAAAGAGTGGATATTCTCCTCAGTCGGAGATAAAACACAAGATGCAGTGATACCATCACTTATTATAGTCCCAGACGATGGAATTCAGTTTGAGAAGCCCAGTGTGAGAAAGTGAAGTAAGCTACGCGCAGGATTTACATTCTCATCCACATAACGGTAAGATTGGAATTTTATTATGATGGAATAAACACTGTGGCGCTCTATTGCTTTGTTACCTGTGTTTTGCACATGTATAGCCTAAATCTCATAGTTTCTTTTTATCTTGCATGGTTTGTGACTTCTGCGTATGTGTTGTGATTTACATTGATATTCGATTTCTGTTAGCTTTGTTATTAAATATAGCCTAGAATCATTTGATTAATAAAAATATGGAGAATAAAAAATAAAAGGTAAAAAAAGCTCTTAAATTTGCCCAATATAAATAGTAAGGGTCAACCTGGTAACATGCAACGCTCTATTTGCCAATATAAATTACTGCAGAAAAAAATAGATTCATAATTTCCTACTGTCAATAGCCTACATAAAGGCATGTATTTACTGAACTTAAAGCCATCTGAAAACAGGAGCTGAGCTCTTTTATTGGTTTAGCAATTATATAATAAGAGTGCACATGACAGCATGGCAGCATCTGTGTTTTATAAATCTGCTTTAAATATGAGGCATCCAGTCAGATGTTGACAGATATTACCCTGGATACCTCATAAACTGACAGTGTTTTGCAGTTCCATGCTGGTCTACTGGTCTAGTTAACGTCCGTTTGATTATGATTATGATAACCACACCATTTCATAATTTGTGAAGAACACTCACTCATTATATAAACCATACAGGAAGCAGTGTTTCTAGGTTTCTATCTCCTTTATGGCAGGAGGATTAAATTGGAGTCGCCATATATTTCACTGATAGGATTAAGAGATGCAACTGGCAAATCTGAAAAATGATTAAATAAACCCATGCAGATGTTGCTTTTACAGTTTGGTTATAAAGTAATGGGGATCTTTTAAAGAAAGTGTTTGTTGTGCTGCATATTTTAGATAAGGGTTTGACTTTCCTGTAATCGAATAGTCCAAAATACATTATTTGAGTTGGGCTGAGAGCAGTGATGTACAAATAGACAGTGATTTTAGATACCGACTGCTTTTGAAGAATGCTTGTGAGCTTTCACATATGGGTTTCCTTTCTGATCAGCCTGAAGTTCATCTCAAACGTGAAAAGAAGGAAAGCAAACATGAAAGTGAATCACTATAGAGACTGAAAACAACCATGTTAATGTAGGACTAGTTTCAGTCCATGCATGGGGTCATGGACAGTCACTTGTTGAGCTCTGCTCCCAATTCAGCTAGTGGTTCATGCATTATTCATTGGCATGTTTCAGACTGTCCCAGACCATGTCTACATGTCTCCAGTGCTTAAAATATTATATGGAGGTAATCTACCAGAAAACTCATACTTGCCACAGACCTAATGGGCTTTTGTAGAGAAGATAAGTAATAATCTACTTGACTGTGGCATCTGCTGTTGTATAATTGGACTCTTTTTTATGCTTAATATTGATCATAAGTATAAGCAGATATTCGAATTTGTCAAGACAGATTATGTATTTTATAGTACCATACACAGGATAAGTAATTAGATATAATTTACTTCCCTTTGAATGTGAAGTACCTTTTATAATAACATCAGCTCCTAATAAGTACAAAGCTTGAAAATTAAACCCATTAACTGTAATTAAGTTTTGTTCATTGCAAAGACATTCAGTCGTATTCAGTTATGAGCATCATTTGTGCGTTATTGTTATACAAAGCATGCATTTTAATGTGCTCTACCTGTAGGATGTAGATTAATATTCTTCTTGAGGAGTCAGTTGATGATTCAGCTCAAGCGTAAACAGGTGTCTGAAAATAATTACAGTTTTCGGTTAGGTAATCTCCAAGATTTGATGTTACTCTGTCAGGTGGATTTTGATTTAATTTGGGCAAGTTTGCAATACTCTTGAGGTTAGGTTTTCATCCATGCTTGTTCTGGACAGGCTACGCATGAGGTGTAAGGAATCAGTAGATGGCGCTAAAGTACAATCATGTGCTACATAGCGATCTAGACTCCACTACAGAGAGGCATTTAGAAGATTGTGCACTATGGTTTGGACCAGTTGTTTTTAATTAAAGGAATCAGTTATTTAGAATAATAAATACGGGGTGTATATTTACATTTAGTTAAAAGTGGCTGTAAATCATCAGCTCCAGTGATGCAGATGGATAAGCGCCTGCCGTTAGCTTTTTGACGCGATCGACCCGGGTTTGATCCCGCCTTTTGCCGAACTTTTTTTTCTCCCTTTTCAAATCTCGTATCACATCGTAAAGGCATTTATTTTCAATAAAAACGAAGGAAATAATCAAAAAGATGAAAATAAAGTATTGGTTAGGGTAGGTGTAGGGAGATCTTTATTGTGCCAATAAGGTGGCATCCATTTAATAATTAAAATTAAAATTATAATTTACACTCAATACATTATTATTGCATACTGTTTTATAATGTACTACAATACTGAAGTGCAGATAATTGCCACTATTTGCAACAAGTAGTATACTTGACTGTGCTATGGTGGCTGTGTTTGGAATTATTTTTGTTGTAGAGATAGAGCAAAAACAGGCAATATGGTGTCTAAAACGCAAGTCTCTTAATTAACTTCTTGTTTATTGAACTGTTGTAAAAAAAATCTATTAGTAATCATACTGATATTTGGAGGAAAAACCGGCACTCTTCATGTGATATTGATTTACTATATGAAATGATATATACATTTTCTGCCCCTATATCTTGAATTTTGTGATCATTCTAAATGCATTTTAACAGACTGAATCACGCAGTGAAAGAACGCACTCTAAATGCGTGCGCACTAGTCTAATCTACTAGACTTCAAGGCACCCTGTGGGAGTGTTTTGTTTGATTTTTGGCAAAATACTGCTAATGTCAAATCGCACATCGTTAAAACAATAATTACGATATTATCGCAGACGATATATACCGCACACCCTGCACCACTGTCTTTTTGGCTAATTTGTGCAAAACCTCTTGCTAAACTGTCAAAGCTTCCTTTTAACCACCAATGCAACGATGCAAGTATTTACCTTACCTATACATGCTTGCGAAGGGCTGATGTCGAGATTTTATAAGCTGCTAGTTTGGTCTCCCTAGGCAAACACAGCTTACACTGCATAACAGAGCTTAAATGCGGCCAGGGGTTCACTTCATTTCCTTCTAGTTTAACTTCAGCAGCAAAGCCTGTCTGCATCTTTCTTGTGATTTTAGCGCCAGTTTGCTCTCCTGTCCATTATTTACTGCAGTAACTGCAGTAGAGCGATTTTTTTTTTTTTTT